TTGCTGAGATGTGCAAATCGGCAGATACGGATGCCTGATCGGCAGCTTGGCACGGCAAAGCTCGGCATAAGTTCTGGTAGTATCATTTCACTTCAATCCCAGCCTCGCTTTAACCTGTCAATATTTATCATCCATCTGTCCGCCGCTCGAAAGGATGGCCAACAATTCTGACAAGAGGGATCGCCCCGGTGATTCACTTGGTATCAAGTCATCAAATGTTCTGACATCCGCGAACATGGATGCGGAGAAGCAACGTCAAATCTCGCAAAAGACCGGCACAGTACAAGGGATTCCGCTGCGTTGGATCATAACAGCTCTGCTGCTTATCAAGTATGGAACTACGCCGGAACACTTTGAATTGTGCGGCGAAGAGGCTTCCGAACCCTTATTGTTTCAACAGTGTTATCCTGGTAGCCGTCCCTTCGATTACTCTCGGAGCAGTGATGAACTCGCAGAGTATCTCAAGTGCGACAGCTCAAGGTGGATATCTGACGATTCTAGCTGACGTAGCGCCTTGTTTCACTTCGACGCTTCTATTTATGATCAACAGCAACCACCAACATTGGTGACCTCGCCATCACATTACAGATTGACGCCAGTCAATAATAGCCGATAGGCTGAGTGAGTGATCCAAAAGGCTTAGGTGTCAGAATATTTATATCTCTGTGTGACATTTGCCGCTGTACATTTATTCAGCCGCTTACATCGAAAAGGTATGCGAAAGTGCTATTTGGTCTTAAGGGCTCACAGAGCTGACTGCGTTGGCCTTGACAGGCTGTCGCTGTGCTAAACAGCATTTCGGTACAGGTCGAAGTGGGCATTTTATCACCTTACGATATCGAGTAAGCAATGCTGAAACACCCCGTGAACCAAATACTTGAAACATATCTGTCACAGTAACATGGCGATCTACATGAAGACTGCGATACAGAACTTTGGCCTGAAAGGTGAGATCTTATTGATCAAGGACTATCCGCGGGACATTTTCCAAAATAAAAAATACACTCGCAGAAAACATTCACACCTCAGCATATACCATCTACGACCCTCCAACCTCCTTCGGTATCCAGCCCGTGGTTGTCAATGGAGTCCGCGTCGGCACCACTTACAATTGGATTTCAAACAATCTAACATCAAACATTACCTGCAGAAACCTTTGCCCGAGTAACAACACCAAAGGACTTTTGATGAGTGTGTTTTAGGGCGGTATTTGTTTGCCTTAACGACACTAACTCAAAATCGGGACCCTCGTTGCTGTGCTTGCAGTATATCCAATGGACGAAGGAACAAACACACTAAGACCTTCGGTGGCATCGGTGAGCGGGGAAGGATTATAGTTGCGAGTTCGCATTTATCACCTATGTATTCGTAAAGGTCCCGTATCAATTGCCGCCACCAGACAAAGCGACGTACTGGCACTTTCGTACCCCACATATTGGACCAGTTATGCCAACCGGGGACAGCGATCAGCTCTGTCAAATACTCCTGCTTTCTATCTACGACCCACGAAGACCTGCAGGAAGTAATGAAGTCGCGTTCGTCCTCCAGCAGTTTACTTTGGAGGACTTGAGCAGCGTACTGGATCGACTGAAAGCACAATCAGGAACAGTGAACTCTCTCTATTACCTTCTTACAACAGCGGGACAGGTTATTGCAATGTCGGGACTCGGAAACGTGACCCAGCAACACGCAGTAAGTGAGAGGCAAGAGCCCAGTGGTCGTTTTGTGTGCATTCGTCGGAGTAATTTTGACCAATGCAAACCTGAATAGGTTCTCACTACAACCGATGCTACTGGTCTTCGAGCAAAGACAATATTTGAATTTCCTGCCAGCACGTATCCCGTCTTCAACTTCACTGCTTCAACGATTTGGAGGCACACGAAGGGAGATCTCGCCTCAAATTTCAGCGACGCTCAGTGGCACACGAATGGTTACATGTTTCAAGTGATATCCCTCTCGCTATATGAGCAGAAATACATTATTGTGTCGGGCGCGTGAGTGGTATCCATTTTCGATCCAGGCAACCGATAATTACTCTAACTCTTCGCGTCCCTGGGCCTTATTTGACGCTGCAGACCCGAAGAGGACTACCTTGGCGATACCATCTTCTTATCCCAGCGTTTGATGGAAACGGTTCGGAGAGCAACCATTGTTCTGACGGTTTCGAGTGAGTCTCTGATTTTACGATTACGGCCTACATGGGCAATTTCAACTAAATTTGCTTGTTCATTTCAGTCCTCGCTATCATAGTGTCACTGGCATTGATTTCAATCGTGTTCACGAACAGGTTCATCAGCGCCCCCCTCTCCGTGATCCTCGACGCAATGCAAAAAGCAATCAAGTTTCGATTTTACTTCTGTACGGAATGGTAATCTCTTACTTTATCAATCTATTGTGAGAGAAGTTGGTGTTACCCAAACCTACTTCATGGAGCTTCTCAAGACTTTTGCGCAGTCCATCAAAGGTGAGACGGCGTTACTTTCATCATCTTTTTTCGCGGTAGTTGATGTGAATATCTGTGGCTTTCAGAAAATAAGTCGCTCGTTCGGAAGAACGGTGCATCATCAAGCAATGCAAGCCAACTTGGAAAGCCTTCGACATCGTAACCTCATTTCGCCAATATTTGTATATGTACAATTGGAGCTTATAACCAGCGATACCCATATTATATGAACTTCCTCAGACTTATCGACGACGAGATGGTGCTGATCGAATTGATGTTCTGATTAAAAAGCAGGTTCTCGATAATATTGACATCCGTCGTTAAAAATGGGCAATGAGGAACGTAAGCAAGTGAAGGAAACTGTATATAAAATATTATTGAAGAATGATTGAAAAATAACAAGTGCGTTAGGATTTCGTCCTAAGCTGACTGGTTCCGATCACGCAAGAACAAGCGATTCCATGGGGACGCCTGCAGATAGCAACGATTTCTGGGTCTTTGGCTACGGAAGCCTCATTTGGTGCGATGGAGCTACCGTCTTTGCGTTCCTCGTCGAGCGATCGGATTCACAAAAACTTGTCGCATCAGGAAAGTGGACTTTCCCGTTGAGAAACAAGTGACGGGGTATATCAAAGGGTACGTTTAATCGATTTAGTGCTCGCTTGAGCATTTGAGTCAAGTGATGGACGTTTATGCCCTTCATCGACCTTGAGATATGTGCGTCGGTTTTATCAAGGATCGGTGGACCATCGCGGGACCGAGGACAAACCCGGACGAGTGTAAGTGCCGTGTACAGTTCTGCAGAATGCGGGTTTGTACTATCATCTGGCCTTCTCGTTCTCGAACTAGTGTCACTCTGATTCCTCGGAAAGAATACCAGCAGCTTCGCCTTCTCAACCGAGAGGATCCTATGGACGGAGACGACGATGAAGACCAAGTGTGGGGTGTTGCTTACAAGGTGGATTACCCAGCTGTGCAACGTACCGTGCCGGGCAATGAAGGTTGACATTTTGAAGTGCCCAGATACCCCCGGAGAAAGCAGCCGAAACGCGAGAACATCTCGATTTTCGGGAAAAGAACGGATACGCCAGTGGGTGGCTGGTCTTATTGCTTGTCTCATTCTGATATCCAGCAATTAATCGTGGGACGAACACGTATCTCAAGGCGACGAGGTCGCCGTTTATGGGCTTGTGAAAGGCGACAACTCCTCGGAGCCTGTTGAAATTGTTCTTGTTCCTCGGGCAACACTCTACGTCGCGCTCCCTTCCAACCCGTCTTTCCTCGGCCCGTCTTCGGTCAATGAGATGGCGTACCACGTCCTAACGTCACACGGCCCTTCTGGTCCAAATATCGACTACCTCGAAGGAATGGTGAAGCATATTAGGGCAAAGAACATGAGGGACGATCACGTGGAGAAGTTGTGGAGCGCCGTGGATTCTCTTCGGGATGTCGTCAGAAGTCGACAAGTCGCCATCCGTCACTCTATCTCGCAGGGAGATCAAGAGTTGTCTGTGGTAGAGTCCAAACCGACAGCTCCGACTGAGGGTGGGGCTAGTATTCCACGAACGGCGAATTCCAATGAAGTGTCCGAGGCACAATTGGACGAATGGGAAAGGAAACACCGGGAGTTGGGACAGCGGGTGAAGGATTCTTGGAAAGCTCTTGGATACCTCGCAACAGGAATACCAATACTGAAGAGTGAGGTGGCGGATAATGTTCAGCGTGGGCCCGGTACATTGATAGCAGACGAGAATTCTTCCACGGCTGAAGTGAACGATAAACCACTGTTTTCGGCACAGAAAGTAGTATATAGAAACTAGACTGTTGAATATTGGTTGGAAGGAGAATGCGAGGCAGTATATACGATGTAAACGGTATTTTGTATAGGCTATCATGAAGAAGCAGCCAGTGTCAAGTGAGCATGGAATCAAAGTTCAAAATTGCGCGCCTCGCCAAAAAACGCATCTCCTCATGGAGCTTGGCGACGGGGGGTCGAGTGTGACCTTGAGGGAGGGTGTAGTGTAGGTGGCGGTCTTACTACGACGGTATGGGTGTAGTGGAGCGCGCGGTTGTGGGGAGTTATACAAGCTCCAGCACGCCCCACACGTACCACAGTCCGCGATCGGTATCCTCGTTCCTTGTAGCTACAGTGTGTGCCGGGCTCCGTTATGGGAGTACTCCGTTTGACCATATACTCTCCTTGACATCTGATCACTGAAGATTCACTCCACTGACATGTATACAATACTGTTATAAGTAGAGCGCTCTCATACGCAGATGCGGGGTGCTCTCGTGAAAACTGAAGTTGCTTCCTGGAAATTGATAAATCCCCAACATCGCTTTTGTGAGATGGATCGGTCGTACCCCATACGCGGAGCCGATGTCGTGCTGCAACGTAGCGCCAATAATACCCCTGGCAAAATCGTCGTGGTTGTAATGGTGTACGGCACAGGGACATAGTGGCGTTGGAGGGACAGTTGGACCCGGCTCAGGTCAGCTTTCACTTGCAGTACTGTATTGCTTCCTGAGGGGTGACGTCAATTATGACAAGCCTTGTTGCCTCTTGCATTGAGGGAATTCGAACTTGCGCGTGCAGAACACAATGCCTTAGCAGGGCACCGCCTTAACCACTCGGCCAAAGCGACACTTTTTTCATGACAAACGGCTCATAATTTGGTTTATAGCAATATCTGTTGTTCAGCATTCCCTGTACACACGCCTCAATCACAACAGTACCATATACATATCAGTTGAGTGAATCTATTGCTAGATGTTGGTCAGAGTACATTTTTTGTTTGATCCAATAGACTTAGTGACTGTCTGGGAGGCAAGTGGGGAGAACAGTAATTCCAAAAGGACAAAGCTCACTTTTTGGGATTGGACCACTTGCAAATAATCCAATTGCTTGGAGCTTGCTTTTTTTTGGACTTCTGAGACATTGGAAGGAGTTTTCTCTTGCGAGACAGTTCCACCAGCTGATCCAGACAAACATACAATAGTATCAGATTTTCTCCTGCACTTTACACCACTCTTGCTCTACCACTGCCCACCAAAGTCCCTGTTTGGTGGGGTAGAATGGACCCACTTTGTGTTTTGTGGAAGGGTTTCCAGCATTTAGGTCATGATGCGACAATTTCATAGCCATAACTGTAGGTACCAAAGGAGAAGAGTTGCACAGGTGAAGGGAACAGAGGGGGTATTCCAGTCTTAGAATTTTCCATGACTTTTCTACATCTGGTATCAAAGGAATATTGTGATGTATTGCCAACACAGCACTATTAGTCTGTCAGGCATGATGAGATTATTCTTTTTAACTCTACATTTTGCAACATTGCTCATACTTGCCCTCTCTTCTTTTATTTAATAATAACCAATTTCACAAATACATCAGCATTGAGGTGAATAGTACACTTAAGCCTTTGGGTCCTGAGTGGATATTTTTGAGCACTCTGCAACCTACACTTTGGGAATATATTGTGGACAACTGACAGTTGAAAGGAGCAAAAAGGAAAACAGTTTTGACATCAATGTTTTATGGTTTTTCCAAGGGGATCCTGGATTCCACTTCTTCAAGCACTTTGCAAGACTGTTCCAGCATGATTTGAGCTAAGAGCACCAAAAATACAGCTCAGCAACTAGTGAAACTGTTCTCATCTCAGATTCTGTTCCCACAAGATCTCAGGACAGGTGGTTCTTGTGGTCACACCCTCCAATTTCACCACCAAATCCTTGACCTGATTGTCTTTCCCAGGGCCTTAGTGCCATCCAAATTTGAAAGCCACATTTTAGAGCATCTTGTTGCCATTTTTGGAAGGGAATCTAGACCTCTTTTCAACACCACAATGGGGGATAATGTTTTTCCAAATATTTTGCACTCCATCTCCCCAATCACTCGCCCTGCACCATACCCCTTCCAAACTATTCAGGCATAAAGTGTATCAAGTTTGGAGTGTTTCTTTTCTATTATGATGATGGTTTTGACCAACAGTTTGAGCTTTATAAGTATTTGAATATAATGCTCAAAAATGCTCACTCCCACCTCAGGCCCCAAGGGCTTAATGAAGCATGTGAACACACTCTCACCAGACTGTCCCCATAAAACTACAAAACATTTCAGTGTCTATCCATCTTGTAGCATCTGTTACAATTCATACAAAAGGTGAATTAAACTGGCTAAACTTTGGAAATGGTTGCCTCAGCAAAGACCACTTGCAAAGGAGCAGCCATGAGAGAGGGGGAATGGGAACAGGAATGGGTGGTGAAAAGGGAGAGAGAAGATTTTTGCAGGAGGGTAGAGGCAGTTACTGTAGGCACTAGCAACCAAGCATGGTGGTAGGGTGTTCATTAGAAATGTAGCAGAACAAGGACAGTGGGCTGGAGCAACAAAAACAAGTGTGAGTGCATGGGGTCAGAGGAAAGTTTTTACATATGGTAGAGAAGCTTGCACACAGTGCAGATGATGATGTCACTGTTGCAGGTGCTAGAGTGACAGGTACAGCAGGCACCTTGGGCCTGAGAGAGAACAACTCTCTATACCTGTGAGACACAAAACGGATCTCTGGCAAGAGATTCCTTGATCACAGGGGCAATGGATACAGGAGGGATGAGGCATAGTGTAATGGCACAGATGCACTAAAGAGACAACTTGTCAGTGAACTACTGGTGGTTGTTTCACCAGTGCTGTCATTGAACAAGTTAGAGGGAGCAAAGGCAGCAATTCTACATGATAATCTCATGCATGTCATCATTGTCTCTGAGCAGGATAAAATGTTTGGGAAGCAAATCAGGGGGGACGACTTGTGAAGTGGTCAATATGAACCTGCAAGTAAACTGTTCATGGCTGGAAATCTTACCGATGCTCCACAATCCTATGGCTCCAATGTGATATGCTATTCAACTTGTCTGCAGTTGGTGGCAGGTTACACACTTGAAGGAGATGAAAGTTGCAGCAACCTTTTGAGGTGTCTGGCCATATCTTTAAGAAGTAATGAACTGGCCAGATGGGGATGTACCAAGAAAATAATTCACAACAAGTTGTGTGGCAAGGACATTTGCCTGTGTGGCAGCATGACTAGCATGTTAGCCACCAAGGGTTGTTTGGGGACACCAATCTTGAGCTTGTTGAACCCATTGATTGCATCCTACAGCTGGGAGGTAAGAGGCTTTTCTTTCTTAGAGAGTTCTTTCCCCCAGGGCAATTGCTGTGGGATCAGAAATAATGGTAGCCCCCAATTCAAGCTCCAACGTGCTTGATCCAACACTTACAGTGAGATTAGATATAAGAAATGACAGAGAGAGGAATGCATGGGAGTATTGCACAGACTGTGTAAAACTTTTGATCCCTGGATCATGGATAACTGGAGAGCAATGAGACCTTGGTTATTGGAGATTTCAATTTTAATACATTGCAAATGACTGCAACATAATAGAAATCAAGTGGTGACAAAATGGGGAAAAACAAATTCAAATGGAGTACGTCACAACTTGGATGATTGAATGTGTGAAATTGAAGATGCTATCTCCAGAATCATTCTTTGATAGTTAAATTGCAAAAAGAAAGTGGGGGGTGGTTATGGTGTGTTGCCAGCATTGCCTTGCTGGATTCAAGACAAAGATTTCTGTGACTGCATCTGCTAATGGGTTTAATGGGCCTAAAAGCACCCCAAAACTGTCCACAAGCAAAGGGAATCTTAGAACCACTGCTTAAAGCATCACTGCTGGCAATTGTGTTGTGCAAATTGAGTCAAAAAGGTGTCAGCGCCTTTGGTAGGTGAAAGAAAAAATGCAAATGCAATTCAATGAGCTCATGGAAGGGTTAGTGAAAGGTGACTCCAATAATATCTATATGGTAACTCAATACAAGGACTTCAAGACTAATCTTGAGCTCACATTCACTTTTTTCTGACCATGAGCTTAATTTGCACCATAATTATTGACATAGTGCCAAACCCTCCTGACGCATCTCCTTCTGTGTTTGACTCTTGTCCTCCATTGTTCCTCAGCAAATCAACTTATTGTGACAATGGGTAGCCGTCAGCATGCAAGGGCAGGAGAAATAAACTGATCATGAATATATGAGTTTGCGTATACACCTGCAAAGCACCAATAGGCCCAACCTGATCATGGTGCTCAATGAAGTAAACCTATCTACTCTAAACATGGACTTCCCTTTTCCTTCCATCTGCACCACCTTTGCCTCACTCAGCCCCCGCACCCAACCATGAGTGGAAAGCTCAGATGTCATACATGACACTTATGACTTGGTAGCTCAATTCTCTTTGGGCCTACACTACAATTTTGCAGACAAGCTTTCTTTGCTGTTGTTGGGAAGAAAGAGTTTCAAGCTGTTTGCTCCATTGGTGGTGGGAAATCAACCCTCAAGGTTTTGCCAACAGATTGACAGCATATGTGGAAGGAAAACAATGCACTGTGAGGATGTATCAACAAACAGAGGATGAACTGGAATCAAAATTGGTGAAATCCAGGAAGAAGAAGAAGGATAAGGAAACACTGCAAGAAGAGCTGAGCAAACCTTGACAAAACTCCCTCCACAAAACACAAAGTGGGTCCATTCTACCCCACCAAACAGGGACTTTGGTGGGCAGTGGTAGAGCAAGAGTGGTGTAAAGTGCAGGAGAAAATCTGATACTATTGTATGTTTGTCTGGATCAGCTGGTGGAACTGTCTCGCAAGAGAAAACTCCTTCCAATGTCTCAGAAGTCCAAAAAAAAGCAAGCTCCAAGCAATTGGATTATTTGCAAGTGGTCCAATCCCAAAAAGTGAGCTTTGTCCTTTTGGAATTACTGTTCTCCCCACTTGCCTCCCAGACAGTCACTAAGTCTATTGGATCAAACAAAAAATGTACTCTGACCAACATCTAGCAATAGATTCACTCAACTGATATGTATATGGTACTGTTGTGATTGAGGCGTGTGTACAGGGAATGCTGAACAACAGATATTGCTATAAACCAAATTATGAGCCGTTTGTCATGAAAAAAGTGTCGCTTTGGCCGAGTGGTTAAGGCGGTGCCCTGCTAAGGCATTGTGTTCTGCACGCGCAGGTTCGAATCCTGCAGGCGACGATATATTTTTCTTTTCGGTTTCAAAGCGACTATCGAAGAAAAATTGCTCGAGGCTTTGCACGGTTTGTCGCTTGCCGCCCTGCAAGCCGCAGCGCAGTTTGTTTCGGTGTCGGGTGACTTTCTAATAACCTTTTTTCGAGACCTTTCCCGTTCTCTCACATGGTGTTTTACTACGTACTGAGTCGCTGAAAGTTTCCCCAACACTGAGAATATACAGTTGGACTTGTTTCAGTCTGAAAGCCATCGGTTTCTGCAAAGCGGCGTTGGAACCACAAAATACTTTATTGTCATTCCATCATCATCTGTTTCGAATGCATGCTTGCAATGTGAATAGTGCGGGGAAGGACTTTGACCGGGGAGTTGGGACCAAAGATGCGGTCAGATCACCTTGCAACGGTCGCCACTTTAGCACTCTGATGGCATCAATTTTCCGGTCGCTGAGCAACATTCTAGGCGGGGGAAACTCGGCTGATGGCGCGCTGAATGTACCCGAGGAGGCCTTCCCTCCAGGCACGGAGTTCGCGGTGTGTTTCGAACCTGGACGGTCCATCGTTCGCCATC